CTCTCGGGGAATATCTTTCCCAGCACACTTTCTTCCGTAGGTCGTTCATGACTACCTGGTCGCGGTCCGGGTCCTAGGCGGTGACTTCGCCTCTGGATGTGTGTGTGTAGTGTGTGGTGTGTGTGTGTGTGTGGCTGTGTGCGTACACCGTGTTTGTGGTGTGCGTACACGTTGTGTGTGTGTGGTGTGTGTGTGGTGGGTGTGTGTCTGTGTGGTGTGTGTGTGTGGTGTGGTGTGTGGTGTGTGTGTGTGTGTGTGTGTGTGTGTTGTTGTACGTGTGTGTGTTGGTGGTGTGCTGTGTGTGGTTTGTCGTGTGTGTGGTGGTAGGGTGTGTGTTGTGTGTGTGTGTCCATTTGTCCACTGGTCTACTGCACTCGCAGTCCGCGACGTAATTGATTAGCCGAGCTGACTGGACAAGTATCATAATGTGTCTTCTGTATGACATACAGACAGATATAGAAAATACTGCACGGTGGTGAGGCTTTTGTCTTGTGCGTTAACAAGTTCTTAAAATTATTACTAACTCCTATATTGGAAACACACCAATAGATAATAGTCACCACGAGGAAAAATACACACCGATCCACCTCCCTTGGTGTACTAAACACTTTCACTTTATATCAAAAAGAAGTTCCGACTCTAGTCTTTAGTTAATTTTATACCTAACCCTTATAACTACAACAATTTTGTACACACTTAAAACTTTACAAGTCGTAGATATTAAAAGTTATTACAACTCTAAACCTGAAGATTCCGAGACAAAAAAAAGTGTTACAGAGTTTAGTACCTGTGTGCCACGTCGTGGTACTTAGCATCAACATGAATGTCATATTTATGTCGAGAGCCTTAATCAATCGAATAGAGCTCTGACACAAGTTTTACGGCGAGATTTGGCTTCATAGTTCTTTCACATTCATTTTTATTCCTCGTCCGCGCGTCATACAACTCACAACTACATCGTCAAACTTAACTCCACAAAAACTTGATTCGGAGTGGCACTCACAACCAGAGTCAATTTTACTAAGTTGCACGACACGACATCCCGACACCGAGCTCGCTACCATCCAAGATGAGTACATTGCGTCGTCCAACCAAAATTAGAAGAAGACGCCTCGATGACTCGACGATACCTTCACATAAACGAACACACAAAGTACATCATAACAGTTGGCCGAAGATCACGGCGTTTAAACTCAAGTTAGAGGGGTGACTGCCTCGTGATTCTACCACAGTAACAAAGTCTATGCTTACTGGGGCGGGGGGAGGTTGCTTACTATTATGTCATGTCCCTAGTCGTCCCTAGCCACGAAAGAGGAAGAGAGAGATTGAATCTGGGTTCGACAAGAGGTCCTTTTGTACTATTGCTCGATTAGTACCTTACCTCCACGTGCGATCCCACACTGGTGACACCCTCGTTTCTTGACGACGTCGGAAATACAACGATGTAGACGAGAGCAAGAAGTCAGGCGCTAGGTATATCGCCACAAGGACACGACGTGTGAGTGAGAGCAGGTAGCATTCACGTGACAGTGACTCCTAAGCAACCCTGACATTCGGTTGTAAAAGACTAGTGTGAAAGGGGTGATCAGGTGTTTACTGCGAATAAACTGAACGTCCCTCTACTGCTACCTGGGCGAAAGTAAACCGGTCGTCGCAGAATTTAGCGCGTGTAATGTAATCCGTCTAAACAGTATAGCATCTTTGTATTTGTCCATACTTCCGAGTGGTGAGTACCACCAACAGACTGTCTTTCGGCTGTACCCGGACTACGCACCTGCCCACTGCACAGCCAACCCGACCCTCATAAGTTCTTCCGGCCATGATCGCGCCAACCTGTCAAGAGACCTGTGTCCTCTTCTTGAGAAGACCTTCAGGCGACATCAGGTCGACGCGTCAGTCGTGATCGTAAATTAAAACTGATGTTGTCCATTGTCCAATCATCTTTCGTTCTCAGTCGAAGGCAAGTTGAAGGTAGTGTTACAAAACACAACAACAACAAAAACTAGGAAACAAAGTATACCACACGGAAAACACATCCCGACACAAACAACAAAAAAAAAACACAACACAACAAAGCACAAAACCAAACAACAAGGACAAACACTATATATCAAACAACACACACTCGCACATAGCGAGTGAAACGCCACACCACAACACCTCACATAGCTATACAAGAAAAAAAGACCGCTGCACCCGCGAGTCGCGGGGCCCACGCACGCACGGCCCGCCAAAGCGCTCCAGTCCTATCGATTGTCTTCCGACACGCACCACACATCAGTCACTAATCGAACAACACGAAACACTCTCGCAATGGGTATAGTCCACGCTCAGTAGTCCACGTGCTCTCTGACGGTTCAGGACTATTCGACACGTTTTGTTCTCGTCCCGAGCACGTCCCCTCGAGTCTCGGCATGTGGGCATATCGTCTAGTCCCTCCTAGGCTAGTAGCTACGACTGCTCAGTTGTCGTCTCGAGCTAGCCTCCTCGCCTGACCTACTCATCCTTATGAGGTGTGTGACTTGGTCCTTTGTCAAAGCTGGAGTACAAAGTCCTAGTCACGTCACGAGCGAGACAGAATATCTATTGCATCGCCTGACGGTAATGCACGGTCGTCATTAAACTGCTGACAGTCTCGCGCGCGCGCGCGCAGTTCACATCTTCGGTTTCACTGACGTTCACTCCTGAATTCCGTGTCTTGCACCGAATCTAGTACAAATACATCCGCTCCCATGTATCGGCGCACTATGCCGTTTAGAGTTCACCGGTTAAGTGTCTTCACTGGTTTCATGGCGCGTCCCTCGATCACCCTGAGGCGCAGAGTGCTCTAACCCACATTGCGGCCAATGACAACACATACTTAACGCTCATAGTACTATGCCAATGATGAGTCGGTATGTTAGAATCTGTTTAGAGTCGAGAGACCCAACGCCACTCTTCACCGCAAGCCGCGCGGCACAGGCACGGCAGAACACAAAAGCTCAAACAAACACCGCGCGATAATACCAGATTTCGCAATAACAGACACTACTTGCCATAGTCAAAACTCTCTGGTGACCGAAGACAGGGACACTGTAAGAAAAGGAAGACGCGCGGGTACAGACGCGTAGGAAAAGTTTTGTGTGGACTCGGTGTCTGTGCTCGTCCATGCCGCTCCCTCCAGCGGGCGGAGATGCGACGATGTCGGCTCTCGTATACGACCTCGATGTTCGGTCCCGCACCCTCATCCCATCGACTCCCGACGACGTCCGTGGGGGACACACCTCCTGTCCTAGACGTGAAATGGTCTATTTATTATTACTATTATGTCAAATAGCTCCGCGGGCGTCGAGTGCGTCCTCTCTCTCTTCTCTCTCCTCTCTCTGCTCTCTCTCTACCCACACCGTGCCCAATGGCCGCCCCCTAACAACAATCAGACGACGCATTACTATATTTCGACAAAGATGTTATTACAACCTCTCCAAACAGACAGCTCGACTCTCCAGTCACTCCCACTTTCCATGAGACTCACAACATCCATATACAAGTGAAAGTCACGATTCCAGTGTAACAGTTTGAAGTTCGGCGCGCCGCTAGCCGGCCAGATGTTAAAAACTAGAAATCAGAGCAGACAGTATATAAGTTACATAAAATCTGGAGCACACACCACAAACATTACACACAAATACACACACAACTGCACCAGAAGAACCAACGCAACGCTTACCGCGCAAGCGCCACAACTAACACCCACACCAACTGCCCCATTCGATGGCCGTAACCCCCCCCAGTTTGAGCCAGCTGGCAGCAGCATCTTTCTTAATAGCTTTGTCCAAATAAGCTCAGACCCTGCCAAGCGCATGCACTCAGGACAGATGCTTCTGTAACAATAAGGCTGCTTAACCTATACTATACAGACAAGCATTCAGCAAACAAATTTGTATTTACAATTCTGATACCAGCATACAGTAAATTATAATGCATCCAATATTGCATGCTGCTTTACAAAGAAGTGTGCAGAGAGCGGTGCATGAGATGTCTGGATTCTCTTTTATTTGTTGCAATGTAAAAATCATGTTTTGTGTTACATACTGTACAGGTATGTAATGAAATATGAGATGAGAAAACTGCTGTAAATAGCTAACTGGTGTCTCAACAGCAATACCAAACAAACTGTCTACATCACCTCAATGCATGATGGGAAAAGTGTCAACTTGTTTACCTTGATCAAACATAGTGATGTTATTAAGCCTCAGAATGTCCTGTCAATACATCTATTATATCTCCAGAGCACTGACACTCTTCCCAAGTTCATATCATTTCCAGCCTTTAGTTCCCCCAAAACACGTCCTGAAACACGAGCATTACTGACAGCATGCCGTGTGATTGCATTTCTGATATGCTGTAAGAATTTGGAAATGTAAATGTCAAGTGTTTAAATATCACTCAGTAAAGTGTAGATTTGGTCCAAGTGTGTGTGTCCCCTGCACCTAATAAAAATGAAGAATTCAACTAACTCTATTGTCCCTCCAGTCATGATAGCAGCAAAGAAAACAAACCAGCGATGTATCCATCTCGTCTCACTATTTCCGTGGATCATAACATATCGAGTATGGAATGAATCTGTAGATGCTTGATTAAAATGAGACACACTTTTCCATGGATGTCAGCTTGTGAGCCTTGAGGAAAGGCAGAATGTGCTGCTAGCTAAGGTTTTAAGGCTTGTTTTTGGCCTGTTACATCACAAGCAGGTGAAGAGAGGAGAGGAGTCAGCAGCCAATAATGTTAATAAATCAGTCTGAAAAAGGACCAGTAATAAAGGAGCTGGTTCAGCAGTGGAGAAACAGACAGACATGATGTAAATCCTCTAAGCTGTTTTTGCCTTCTTCTGTTATTTATTATCTGTGTGTCTTGTTAGACACCTCACATCCTTTATATCTGACACAGAACACCCTGAGGGCTGTATCCTGACACATCCTATATTAACCTTTGACCTCCCTGCTTCAAATCAGACATAGTTTATGCTGCCCCTGTGTGACCTCTGTGTGACCTCTGCTCCTTCCTCCTTCAGCCCCTGTGAACTCAGTGACCTGGAGTTCCTGGATGAGGAGTTCCACCAGAGCCTGCAGTGGATGAAGGATAACGACATCGAAGACATGCTGGACCTCACCTTCACTGTTAATGAGGAGGTCTTTGGACAGGTGTGTGTGTGTGTGTGTGTGTGTGTGTGTGTGTGTGTGTGTGTGTGTGTGTGTGTGTGTGTGTGTGTGTGTGTGTGTGTGTGTGTGTGTGTGTGTGTGTGTGCGTGCGTGCGTGCGTGCGTGCGTGCGCGCGCGTGTGCGCGTGCGTGCGTGTGTGTTTCCCGGAAGCTACAGTACCTTTCTATGATCAAATATATGATTAGGGTTTGCCTTCTCTTCACCACATTCTCTCCAGCATTTTCAAGTATTTTTTTTAGATGAGACTTGTTCAATGTGTGACAGCTTCCTGCTGAAAACAAATCTGCATTTGAGACTGAAGTGAGCATGTGATTGTGCAGATCACAGAGAGAGAGCTGAAGCCGGGCGGGGCGGGGATCCCCGTGTCGGAGAAGAACAAGAAGGAGTACATCGAGCGGATGGTGAAGTGGCGCATCGAGCGAGGAGTGGCCCAGCAGACGGAGAGCCTGGTCCGAGGCTTCTATGAGGTACAGCTCTGCATCTCGCTGTTTCAGGTGAAGTGAGGCTATGATCCCGAATAAAGGGGGCAGTTAGTACGATGTTCCTCTAGCACATTATTACAGACCCATGAGAAGGAAGTACGAGAAGACATTTGGGTTAGCTGTTCTTTTTTTTTTTTCATTGGGCAAACTTATTTTCCCCGACCTATTCATAGATTTTGTTTTACTTGCGGAAATAATAATCCTCAAAAGCTACTGCCTTTATTGAGACCTTTAGAGATATTTCCACAGTATATATATGTAAAACATCTCTCCGAAAAGGCTTTACCTGTGGGCAAGGCAAACACAAATCACAGATCCACACTCCCTCCATTGGGATTTGTGAGACTCACTTAATTTAGATTCCCGGTTGGGGTTGATAAAGAACCGGGTCAGGATTTTCCAGCTTCCAGACTTAAAGATCAGACCACAAGAAATGTCTCACCTGCCTCTCAGCTTCCATACAAACTAACTACAATACACTGAATGGCAGGATTGTTGATCAATACCAATCGGTTAAAGCACCCTCTGCTGTTTCAAAGGAGAATCACAACGCAATTCTACATTCTAACACATTTGTTTCGCAAATGTGCTGTGTGGTGAACTCTCTTCCCTTCCTGTAGCAGAGAGAATGTGCAGGTTTTGTGCACTGCTGGGTTTGGATGTGAATCTGAAGGAACGTTCATACGACGTGTTTCAGTCTGTTCAAAGGAGCATGTATTCCTCTGAAATGTGTAACGATCTTAGGAGCTTCAGGTGATGTGTGACAGCTCACAGTCCTACATGTTGAAGCTCAGCAGGACAAAGTGAAACCAAGAGCGGACTGTAATCTGGGCCGCTGCTCTACTCTGATCTGCTCGTGTGTTTTCATGACTCTGGTACAAACCCAAGGCCTGTAAGCTGCTGCCTGGCAGGCTGACAGAGCACAGTTTGTGAGTCACTGCGAATTTACACACTGTAAACAAAGTGATGGAAGCCCTTCACAATGATCCTACTGCCATCTGTGTCAGCTGCTAAAGCTCAGATGAATGAAGTGAGTGCTCCTTAAGTTAACCCTGTGCTGATCTGCTGGGCAGGTGGTGGATGTGCGTCTGGTGTCCGTGTTCGATGCTAGGGAGCTGGAGCTGGTGATAGCCGGCACTGCAGAGATTGACCTGGCAGACTGGAGGAACAACACGGAGTACAGAGGAGGTATGTGGGGGGGCAGAGGGCAAGACTTTCATGGCACACTGACAGCAATATGAGAACACTTACAAAGTCATGAAACTCAAAAATCATCCTGAAAAAACATCACAATTGATTATAGAATGGAAGACCCATTCAGTAGTATGTAAGTATTGATGTAGTACTGATTAATATGTTATACTGCATCCTGATCCTCAAATTCAGTCCTTTAAATTATATTTAATTTGCGTAAAAAAAAAAAAAATAGTATACATGCATATACTATATACTGTTTAAATATAAATAACGGATATGGATATATAAACTGATATGGAAAAGTGTTAAAACCTTTATCATAGATTGCACTAATATGAGGATGGATGTTTGGGACTGTGATAAATAGGGCATTGGCATGAATTCCCATCATGATACAGGGGTTAGGGTTCAAAATAGAAGTGAGCTGCAATTCTGGTAAACACACAATATACTTTAGCAGGATGCTTTGAGACTCAGTTACACAGATCTGTCGATTAAAACTACCAATAGTCGCAAAATCTTCTCATCTTTGTGGACAGCCCTCCTTAGCACAGATTTGATGTGTCCCATGTGGGATGCCTGGTCTAGGATTCAAACCTGAGTCAGCACAGGTTGAAGCCCCCGTACATGGGGCGGCAGTTGCCCTTAATCAGAAGATATAAGCTAGACCTCAATATCGTTTATTTTAACTATACAATAAAAAGTGATTATGGAGAATGAAATGAGAAAACCTTTCATTATATATTTAACAGCTGTACCAGGCTTGACTGTAATTGCTTATATTTATTGTTATTTTATTGTGTACAGCACAAGCATGCCAGTGCCAGTCCCAAGCATTTAGCAGAGATCACATTAAAGGCTTCCTCAGGTTCTGGCCCGCAGCAAGAGACGGGGGGGGGGAAACTCAGAGTGAGAGTCTTTTAATAGAACCATCGACTGAGACGCACATTAAACATTAAACAGCAGAGCCCATTGACAAATCACACAGCAGAGACAGTGAGAGGAACAGGGGATAGAGGCCTTATTAATTCATCTGACTCATGCACCATCATCATCTGTCTCCCCACAGGTTACCATGACAACCACATTGTGATTCGCTGGTTCTGGGCAGCTGTGGAGAGGTTCAACAATGAGCAGAGGCTGAGGCTGCTGCAGGTACCATGGGGGGGTCCCATGTGGAAGCTGGAGTGGCCTGCAGGCTGCTCGGACAGCTCTGTACTTCAGAATGTGACCAGGTTTAACTTGAGGCTGCACAAAGCTGTTAGTGAGACTTGAATCTGGATTATATTTCACTAGAACTGAGGCATGCAATCTTTTCATTGAAAATTGAACATTCTCAGTTTAAATGTGATATATGCAACTTCTCTGCATTAAGATGCCTTAAAAAAATTAACCCTATATCATATATTTTGTTAAATGTCTGCAACAGGTTTCAGAGCTAAAGTCATCTGTAATGTAATCAGGGTAGCAGTGTGTTTCATTGAATCTCCTGCAGTGGTGTCCGATCCCCTTCAGCCTGTGTCAGTGCAGTGGCGGTCTGTTGTCTGTGAACAGCAAACATTAGGGTGTAACAGCGTTAGAGAAACACACATTGTTCATGTAAAACTGCTTGACTAGTCTCTGTACCAGTTTTAATCACATTGTCCAGGGCAGCCTCCTGAATGAAGATGACCTCACATCCTCACACACTAAACTGTCTGTGTTATTGTTGATTGAGAGACCCCTAGTGGTAACACATGACATATTGTGCGTTTAGGTAGGACTGCGTGTCTGAACTCATAATATATAGAACTAATAAACAAAGTCATATCCATTTTCATTCATAAATAATAACAATGTTTAGGACGCTCCTTTCATACTCTGTATGAGTTTGATGGCTTTCTTCCAGTTTGTGACAGGCACCTCCAGTATTCCCTACGAGGGCTTCGCCTCTCTGCGGGGCAGTAATGGCCCCCGCAGGTTCTGTGTGGAGAAGTGGGGGAAGATCACCTCCTTACCCAGGTACAATGTCTGATGGGATGTAGCCTTTAGGGACTGCATGGAAAGGATACACTTTACAAGAGGTGGAGGCTTCTGTATGTTTCTTATTTTTTGCCTTAGCAAATTAAATATACATTTTAAGTTTTGAGTTATGTGCCAGCATAGTGTGAAGGATAGAAATGCACTGTTTAACTCTTCAATTTGAGTGTGTCTTGGACACAGATGAGCTTGTGATGGAATGACCTGTTATACTGAATACTGTGAACTGTAAAATGATGGACTAGTTTCTAAAGAAAAGAAAACGTATCACCTTAATAAGCCATTCTTACTAGTAAAATAAGCAGAAGTAGTAGTGCATTTACTAATCTTTATTATACAATGTATTATTGACGTATACATTTTGTTAAAGATTTAGATTAATCATCTTCTACTTGGCTTAGCACCTGATGGAGCTTTGAAAAAATGGAACCTATGTTTTCTGAAATGCAAATAAAGTTACATTAATAAACATTCATAAAAGACTGTTAACAATGAGTTTTATATATTTAAATACAGCATAATACAACTATTTAATAGCAATTTGTGTGTGTCTCCACAGGGCTCACACTTGCTTTAATCGTCTTGACCTCCCCCCTTACCCGTCCTTCTCCATGCTCTATGAGAAGCTGGTCACTGCGGTGGAGGAGACCAGCACCTTCGGGCTGGAGTGAGAGAACCATCTGGAAATCTACCTTCCTCCAGACGAGAGACAAATAAAACTAATCCTCAAATGGCAACTAACCCCCCCACCCCCACCCCCCGTGGACAACTCTGCTGTTATGGTCCTGTCTCACTCAGCACTCAGTCTTCTTGCGATCCTCCCCCTTTCTCTCCCCCAGAGTTAGTGGAGAGAGGACTGCAGAGCTACTCTGTACGGCTTCTTGTTTTCATGCTCACCTTTGATCACGTGTGCTTTATCTCTTCAGTTGATGGCCTTGTTTACTGGATTTCTAGCACCTCCTCCTCCTCCTCTAACCTGCACCTCAGAGACAGCTGCTGAAACCCCCTGAGCCTGAGCCCCCC